GGTCTCACGCCCCTGGGAGTTTCGGGATCCGGCTCCCAGAACCCCCACTCCTCCCTCCCCCTCTCCCCGTCCTTTCCCTCCCTGCCTTCCCCGACACCCTGGGTTAGACATCAAAGCTCAAGGCTGCCAGACTGGGGTTCTCTGACTCCACCCATTGGGAAGGAGTTGGGTGGGTGAGGTCCCCTCCCAGCTGCTTCTGAAAACCCCCAAACAGATGGGCTTGTATTAGAGCTGGGCAGCTCGAGGCTCGGGCTGCCGAGAGGAGGCCGGACAAGGGGCTTCCTGGGTAGCCTGCACCTGCCGGGGGGGAAGGGTCCAAAAGGATTCCTTCTGCAAAGATCCAGGCCTTGTACCATCCACACTCTATATCCGTGTCTCTCTGAGGCCTCCTGGTTTTCAGCTGCTGCTTCCCAGGTGAGGTCACCAGGGGCAGGGACCGGAGGGACTGGCTATGGTCTGCTCGACTGGCTGTGAGAGCCAGGACTCCCAACTCACCCCCCCCCACACACTGCCCCTCCTGCCAGGGGCACACCCTGTGGTAGAATTCTGCTCAGGCAGGTGGGAGTAGTTACAAGGCTGTGGGGGCCGGGCTTGTGGGGGAATGTGAGATGTCAGAGATCTGCAATGTGCTCCCCAGTCCTCCCCGAGACGCTAAGGAGCCCTCTTTGGGGGGATGCTCCAGGGAGGGAAGAGGCAGCAGGGAGCTGCCCTGCTCCCCCAACCCAGTTCGGTCCTGGCAAGTTTGAAGGGAACCCTGAGCCTGTCTCTCGGAACGCCAGGGCAGGGGGCCCAGCCCTTGCCTGACATGGAGGCCCAGGGGTGTCTCAGGCCACCTGCCGGGGAGACCCAGAGGGACTGCCCCCAGGAATGCGAGTCCACCCTGGAAGATGGACTGGGTAGCCCCACCTCCTGCCAACTGGAAGAGAGGTGTGTGTACAGGCATCGTGGGGCCGGTTCTGCTCAGTGACCTCAGGGGTTCCCTGGGGGTTCCACTGTCCCACAGGGATCCTGGCTGGTAAGAGAAGTGCTCACGTTTCCAAGACGGACTTGAATGCTGAGCACCTGGGGTCTTGGGTGCTACCTGCCTATTTAGTCCTGGGAGCCCTGTGCTCTGAGGGGGTCCCGGGAGAGAGGGGCTGTGTGGGGGCTCCCTGGGTTTCAGGAGCCTTGGCCGGCAGGAGTGTGGGGAAGGGGTTCCGCTGCCTTGGACATCTGTTCAGGCTGCGGCCTGGAGACTCCAGGAGCCCTGCCCAGGACACCCCGCCCCCAGCAGACACTGGCCTGCACCCACGCTCTCAGGCCCCCTCTCAGGAAGACCCAAAGCTCTGGACGCTCACGTCCCCTGCAGATGGTGACGTGAATAGTAAAAATCACCCTAAGTCCTGGGAGCTCTGCACACTTGTCCCTAAACATCACACGGATCCTGCAAGGAAGCTTTTATTAAAACCCCCAACCTTGTAGATGAGAAAAATGGGGCTCAGAAAAGCAGAGTGGCCCTGACCTGTTTGGCTAAGTGGACAGAGCATCGGCCTGCGGACTGAAGGGTCTCGGGTTCGAGTCCAGTCAAGGGCATGTACCTTGGTTGCGGGCACATCCACGGTGGGGGGTGTGCAGGAGGCAGCTGATCGATGTTTCTCTCTCATCGATGTTTCTAACTCTCTATCCTTCTCCCTTCCTCTCAGTAAAAAATCAATAAAATATATTTTAAAAAAAGAAAAAGAAAAGCGGACCCACCCCCTGCCCAGCTCACACTGCACCCCTTCATGGCTGCCTTTCCCTCTCTCTGAGCACCGAGCCGGGGCTCAGGAAGGCCACTGGCTAACGTGTGGGTACACAGGGGTTGTCTTTCAGACACGCTGCGCAGGCCCCGCTGCCCTTCTCCAAACCCCCCTGAGCTGTGATTTCCCGAAAGCCACCCACACCTCTGCTTTCTCCAAGCCGGAACCCGTGCCGGCCTGAATTCCCCGGCTCCAGCCTCAGTTTCCCCTCTGTCTCTCAGGCCCCAGCATCTGAGCAAGGCTCCCCTTGCTTTGAGGAGGCCAACAGCACTGGCCGGGCTCCTTCCTGCCCCAGGTCTGACTCTCCCTCTGGAAGCCTCTGGGATCCAGTCACCTCCATCCTCCCCTCTTCCTCCAAAATGTCAAGCCTGGCCCTGCCCCCCTGCAGCCCCCTCTCCCCGCGGCCCCCTGGGAGCCCAGGCTTTGCTGGAGGGCAGCGAGTGAAGCCGGCTGTAACAGAGAAACCTCGGGCTCCTCTTTAGAAGTCCCAGAGGAGGCAGATCTGAGGAAAGGCTGCCGAGAAGGCGCCTGCAGCAATGTCAGCTTGAGAACAGCCTGGCTGACAGGATGCTGAGCGGGGATTAAGGTCGGGATCAGGGAAGCTGGGGAAATGAAGGCAAGTTCCCTGCGCCCCTCGCTGCTGCCACTGCTGCTGCCGCCTCCGCTCCGCTGCTGAGTTTGTCTTCTTGTTCTCGCTCTGGGAAAGTGGGCAGGGAGGGCAGTGGACAGGGTGAGGCAGGGAGGTGGCGGGGAGGGCGGGAGAGGTGGAGAAGGCAGGCAGCAGGGCGGAGGGCAGTGGAGAGGAGAGGGTGCCAGGTCTCTGGCTCTCAGGGCCCATCCAGGGCAGACCCTCGCCTGGGACGGTTCCCTGGTGACTGGTGACTGTCCCTAGTCAGCCCTGGGCAGCCAGCCGGACCCCTGTTACCCTTCTCCTATGTGCAGAGCCTGTCCTGAGTGTTGGGGGCAGGACCAGTGGCAACAGGATTGATGAGGTCCACATACCTCCCGCATGTGAAGGCAGCTGTTTCCACCTGCCTTCGAATGCAGGCTCCCTTGTTCTGGGAAAAGGTCATCACCAAGACCTGTCTCATCATTGAAATGTCACCGGAGCCCAGCCAAATAGGCTACAGAGTTCCTGTGACACCGCAGTCCCTTACTGTCACTGGCGTGGTGGCTAAGAGCGTGGCCTCTGGTCTCCGACCTCCTGGGTTCAGATTCCGACTCTGCCACTGACTTGCTGTGTGACCTTGTACAAGGCCGCTAACCTCTCTGTGCCTTAGAGGGCAAAAATAGCGGCACCTCCTTCTGAGGCTGTTAAGAGGCTGAAGGGAGTGAGCACGTGAGCAGTGCTAGGAGGAGGCCTGCCACAGAGGACGTGTGCAGGGAGGGTGGTCTTATTTAGTCGCACAGGCAGAGTGAAGGAGTAGCAGTGGCAACGTGAAGTTAATCACCGGAAAGCTTCTGGGGGGAGGGAGTGTGGGATGGGATTTTGGAGGCTGAGGCTTGGCAGGGGTGAAGGAGTAGATTGGGGGTGAGAGGCAAGCTCCCACGTGCCAGGTGATGTGGGGCCCGGGAGGGGCAGGGATGGAGGATTGTCTGGTGAGAGGTGGAGAGGATGCCTTTACGGGAGCCCCATCCACCAGTCTTTCTCAAAGGTCCTGCTCTCACAGGGGTAACATGACTCTCTCCCAGGCCTGCCAAGGGCAAGCCAAGGGCAAGCCAAGGGCGCAAAGACCATGAAAAGATACTGTTTATCACGGTGACCTCCCCAGAATGGGGCTGATTCCAGAAATTCAAGCAATTGACAGAGGCTTCCAGAACTCCTGGGTTCTCTGGACGTGGTGAGGGACAAGGCAGCAGGGAAAGGGGCAGGGACTACACACCTGGCAGCCCCTGGGGTTGAGCTCCAGCTCTGCCACCCACCAGCTGTGTGATTTGGAGCAAATCAATTAGCATCTCTGAGCCTCGGTTGCCTGGGCTGTAAAATGGGATAAAGATTGGAACAAGGACGGGTTCCTGGCCTCCCTGTAGCTCCTCCTGGGGGTCCTCATCCCATCCCCTTTCTCTGGACACCTGCCATAGGCTGGGGGTGGGAGAGGGGCTGGGTGGGGTTCTGGTAATTGAGGGAAGGGTCTGCTGAGTGTCTGTGGGGAACACACCTGGCCAGGGCGTCTAGTCTCAGGTGTGGGAGGAGCTCCTGGCTGGGGATATTACATCTAGGGGACTAGTTTCTGGAGAAGCTAGTTTCAAAAACACCCCCACCCCTGTCAATAAAAATTATGTATATTTATTATAGAAAATTTGGAAAATACAGAAAAGCATAGAAAAGAAGATAAAGTGCATATAATGATAATACCACCACCCGGAGGCAACCATGGTAAGATTGTCCTGTATATTTTTTAGTTTTTAAAAATACAGTATATGTACATACTCGGAATAGGCACAGGGATGTAGATGACAATATAGGGGACATGGTCAATAATATTGTAATAACTATGTATGGTGCCAGGTCACTTGAAATATCAGGGGACCATTTGTAAAGTATATGATTATCTAACTACTATGCTGTACACCTGAAACTAATACAAATAAGATTGAATGTAAACTGTAATTGAAAATTTTTTTCCAAAAGCAAAAATATTTATATGCACACACACACACAAGTATTCACACACTTATTCACAATACTCACACATATTCACACACATTGACACACATATAGGTAACTATCACAGCATAACACACTTAATGTCCATATATTTTTAAAAATTTAGAAACAGAATCATGAAATCATAAATGCATTATCAGTTTGAAAAAATTATTTTGTTTCATTAGACAAAATATCGAGGAGACCCTTCCCCCAGGTTATTAAATATTCTTCTCCAAGGTAATTTGAAATGACTGTGGCGTCCTCCATCTTTTGGGTACAATGTAAGGCGTATCACTTTATCAGTTCTCAACTGCTGGTCATCCTGGTTGTCGCTAGATGCTTGCTGTTATAAACAACACTGTGACGAACCTCCTCTGGAGAAAAACCTCCGAGAGGCAGTAACTTTGCAATTGTTCGTCTACCCGTCTGTCTATCCCCAGGGGAGGGGGAGGCTCTCTGGGGCAGGCTCCTCGCCCGCCCGACTCACTAGCTGGGCTCCTGGTTCACTGGAGACATCAGTAGCTGCTGATTGCATTGCATTTCTGGAGGCTGGGCTCTGGGCTGAGGAGCTGAAGTGGTGGCTGATGAGGAAGGAGCCCACCTTCCAGCTAGAACACTCAGGTCCCCACTGCCACTCAGTTGGGCTGACCAACTTCTAGGAAAAAACATTCCCAAGCCCAGAGTCACCGGCCTTCCTGAGTCCCAGGGAACTGCTGCTTTATCTCCTCTCTTCCCGGGCAA